TGTGCCCCCGAACCCGCATCTCCCCCAGAACAGCCTCCGCCCGCCTGGCCTGGCTCTGCTGTGGGGACCCTGCCCTTCCCTGGAGGGCTGGCTCAGACAGAGCCGGGCTCTGCGGCTCACCCGCTGGTAGTCACATCCGCTGCCGTCCTGGCGTGTTTATACCTCCCTTCTCATTCTCTGTGTGGCCGTCTGACCTTATCTCCCTCCCCAGGGGGACCAGGACAGTCACACGTCCCTTCCATGCCCCTCTCCCACATCGGACTCAGTTCATCACATAACGTGGCGTCAGCTAGCACCGGCCTGTCCACCCCCTCCTGACAGTGGTCACCAGCTGGAGCCAGAAGGGCTCACACCTGAGAGCCGCGGGTCACAGCGCCTCAGAGGGGGCACCGTTCACTGGGCCAGACCCCGAGGGTGGCTCGTCCGGGGCCACACAGCCATGGCTGGGCCTGGACCCTCAGGCTCCTTCTGCCCCTGGGCTGTCTCCCATCGCCTTTTCCATGCCGATGGCTCCAGCTCTCCAGCCAGTGCCCACGAGTGGCCTCTCGGCTCTGGGCCTGGCTCTGGGCTCGGCCCTCACCGCTGAGGAGGGAGGGGGCTGCTCTGTAGCCGCTGTGGGACTTGTCCCCTGGTGTGGCACTAACAGACGGGCAGGGAGAAGTTAGCCAGGCAGGGGGTTGGGGGGAGGCCTGGCCCAGGCCCTGGCCCGGGCCGGGAGAGGAGGCCTCCGCTGGTAACCCGGGAGGTGGTCCTGGAGCACTGATGGCCGGACGAGGCGCCAGGACCTGGAGCGGGAAGACGTGGAGCGCCCACCTGGGACAGCAGGGCCCCGAGCAGCCCTGCTCGCCTCCCCCTGCCACCCTTCTCCTCCCGCTCCTTAAACTCTTAATTCATCACAGTGAGCCGTGTGCCCGGGTCACCGAGCCTGCAGATGGGCTCGTTGATTTTCCATGTCGTATCGATCAGGCTTCCCAGCTGCGATGATTCAATTAGCAGGCCCGCCGTTGGCGCCACCGACTCGGCAGGAATCGGTTGCTGCTCCAGCTGCCCCCACGAGGCCGCCGAGGGTGTGCCTGCCCGGCGTGTCCTGGCGCCCCGGGTGACAGAGCGTCTCCCGCCTTGTTCCTGGTGGCCGGCGGTCGGCATACGGCGTCTCCTCGGGTCCTTTCGCGGCCTGTCCTGCTGCATCTTGCTCCTCTCCAAGGACGGCCAGAGGTCCAGAACGCTGAAGAATGCCAGTCTTTGAAGGAGTAGCCACCTTCTCCAGCACATCTCATCACTAGCGCCCACGGCCCAGACGTGCGGACAAAGTCACAGGGGCTCTGGGATGAGGACCCCTCTCCGTTCCAGGCCTGCTCACTTCCAGGGCGCCCGGTTCACAGGTGGCATCAGATGGTGCGGCTCCACTGCTAATAGACGCGAAAGCCTGAACAGGCCACTGCAGTCACTCGCAGGCGTGTCGTCGTAAACATGGTCATTCAAAGCCCAAGTGGGATGGGGGCCGGGGTGGGTCGGGCATGGAGGGAAGCAAACGGGACTGGGGCCTCTCTTACCCCCTCACTGGCAGTAACCGCCTCCGCAGTCTAAGCCGTAGTTTGAACTTGTGGGGTGTGGAGCTGTGGACCCCGTGGCCGCCCTGGAGGTGCCTGCAGCCTGGGTGCGGGCAGGGCACGCTCTTCCCAAAGGCTAAAAATAACAGGGAGGGAATACGAGTGGGGCCAGATGTGTGGTGTGAGTCCGTCTGTGCAGTTTCCAGGAAAGGCCTGCTAGAGAGAGCGAGAGCCAGCAGAGCAGGGGTCACAGGGTCGACAGCGGACGGCCCGAGGGAGCTTTCTGCGGGGCTGCGGGTGCTCTGAAGCTGGCTCGAGTGCGGTCACTAAAACACATCCAGGTGTCCGCTCACGGCGGTGGGTCATGTGCAAGGCCAGTGATACTCGGTAAAGCTGTTAAAAAAGACACACGGGCGGGCGGATGCTCGGAGGTGTCGTGGAGCAGCCGCACTCAGTCGGCATCACCCGATGGCCTGGGCTCGGGCCCTCACCCCTGGCTGGTCTCAGGACCTCCTGCGGACCTTCCTTAACATGTAGCTGCCCGGCCGTCCCCCAGGAGAGCCCACTCTAGGCCCTTCGTGGGGCACACGGCCACTGAGCACATGCCCGAGGCCCACACCACGCCAGCGCAGGAGGAATCCAGCCAGGCAGGCGCGGCCTCTCCTCCCGGGCTTGCGCCCAGGCGCTGGACAGACAGAAGGAACGGACAGTGCCAGGCGGAAGGTGAAGTGTGTGCGGGCAGCGCCGGGCGGTGGGGCACAGGAGAGCAGAGAGGCTCTGAGTGTGGGATCTCTGGGATCTGAGTGTGGGAGCCAGTCTCGCAGAGACCCGAGAAGCGTCCGGTGGGCAACAGCAAGTTGTCTCCAGAGGCCGCGGCCAGGCCCGACTGAGGCGGCCTCTCCCACGGCAACTTCTCAGCCCTGGTCTCACCCGGCAGGGGCCGCCTAGCCCCAGGCTCCTGGAGCCTCTGCAGAAGGCTCCGTAGGGCGCGGGCTGGCACCTGAAAGGGGGCAGAGCTTTACCCCAGGGGGCCCCGGTGTGGGTTTCACAGTGACAGCCATCACGGGACCCAGTGACTCAGGCTCTGACCAGCCAAGTGGAGCCAGGAAGCTGTGCTGTCCGCCCACTGTCCCGGTCACAGTCCTGCGGGAGAGAGGGCAGCGGTCACCGACCCACTCGGCCGGCCCTTGGGTGCTGCAGCCACCCCGCGAGCCCACGCGGGTCCCTGGCTGCTCGTTAGATGCTGAGAGGAAGGGTGGGCTTCAGTCCTCAGCCTCAGTGTCCTCTCACGCAGCGTGGAACACGGTCAGGTTGCAGCGAGCACCGAGCGAGCGAGCGCGGGAGGCGAGCTCTGTTGATTTGGGTGCAGACTCTGCACGTGGAGGTGTTGGTCCCACAGTGGTGGTTGCTGCTCTTGTCCGGCCCAGAAACGTGTGTGCAGCTTCCCTGAGCAGGACTGCAGGTCAGGGTCGTGGCCTGCCCTCGGACAGGGCACTCCTGGGCACTGCCACGCACAGTGTCCCGACCGCTGAGCATCCGGGGCTGCCTGCTCCGAGACGTGCAGCTCACGCCCCCAGGTGGCCCCTAGAAAAGCCTGCTTCTCACACCCAAAGGTGTCATCTCCTGGTAACCCACATGGCTCCCAGCTCCGCCCGTGGACCACTCGGGTCCCCTCCCCGCTGGAGCCGCGTCCGTGCCTCCCAGGGAGCCCCGCGCTCAGCGCCCTGTGCATCCTGTTGCTACAGCTGGCGTGTGGCTTCTTTGCTCTTCCCTCTTTTTCCTGTTGGCCTCGTCCATTTGTGCTGGTTCCCAGCCTGTGAGCCTTGGAGAAAAGGGACGTGGGGGACTCGAGCTTGGAGCTCCCAGGCGGGGGTGAACGGGGAGACTGGTGGGGACCCGGGCACTTCCAGTGCGGCCTCCCTGGAGCCAAGGAGCAAGGATGGCCAGGGAAATCTGGCCTCGTGGGGCGGGCCCGGGAGAGGCTGCAGGCTCTGCCCGTGCCCCTCCCCTCAGAGGAAGGACCAGGCCGTGGTCTCCGCCTGCTGCACGGAGCAGGCGTCTGGCCCAGGCCCTCTGCCGGAAGGTGTGGTTTTCAGCATCGGTGCTGCAGCTCCCTGCCCAGTTCACCAGAAGTCTCGTTCCACGTCAGGTAGCTAAGTCATTTCTCTCTCTGGCAACCACTGAATTTGAGAATGTCCTGTTTTACCATAACCAAAAGAAGTGAAACTGTCCCATGAAATAAAGTGGAACGGCCCAAAAATGCCTCGGGAGAGACCGAGGTCTTTCCTCACAAAGTTGTTAGCAGAACGGGAGGGCAGCCCCTGCCAGGGCCCCTAGAAGATGGTGCACGGCTGAGCGCAACCAAGCTGCTCCAGGTGGCGACAGTCACCTCGCCCTGCACCAGCCCTGCTTCCTTCCTGTCCCCCCGAGGCAGCGTACCCTCCTGGACGCTGCGGTGCAGCCAAGTTGAGAACCGCTGACTTGCGGGGGCACGTGGCCCCGTCCCCTCTTGACCCCTGGTGGGGGAAGGGGATAGAGACGGACAGGCAGGGCTGCTCTGGAGTTCTGCACAGTTCCCTGGAGGGACAAGATGCACGGGGAAAGTAATAGCACTCAGAGATTCGGGTAGCCAGTGCTTACCTCGGGCCAGGCGTGCCCCCGAGCACGTGCTCACACGCAGCAGCCCTGTGAGCACACACTCACCACCCCATTTTACAGACGGGAAAACTGAGGCCCAGTGAAGCCGACTGCCCCAGACCACACGGGTAGAAGGCAGTGGGCCTGTCATCGAGGGCCTGTGGTCTGACCACTCCTGCAGGCTGCCCTCTGGAGCCCAGGAGGGGTCCTGACGGTGGGCAGAGACGGCTGCCGGCCCTCGGGAAGTTGAGTGGGTGCCTGTGGTTAAACATGAGAAATGACGCACGCCACAGTGCTGTTCTAGGGTGCATGTGATTAAACGTGAGAAATGACACAGGCCAGATGGCTGCTCCAACATGTGTGCGAGCACGCACACGGGATGGGAAAGGACTCTAGGCACCACAGGCCAGGGGTCCGTTCGTTCCACCCTGGGACCTCCTCGCCTCGCGGAGGCACCCCGGAGAATGCATCTCCGGGGAGCACTGGGCCTGGGATCCCTGAGATCCCATCCTAGAGAGGCAGGAATGCAGTGGGGACAGGGAGGTGCGCGACTCCCCCAGTGAGGGGGCACCACGCCCGGAGCTGAGCCGTGGCCCCGCCGTCCGCGCGTGGTGGGCCCGGGCCGGTCTGCACAGTATACATGGTGCCCCTGCCCTGGATTTTGAAGCAGCATGTGGATTTGGAGCAGGCCTCGCTCGGCCACCCGTCTGGCCAGTGGCTGCCACGTTCAGCATCCCTGGGAAGCCATCGGGGATGTCCCAGGGCCTCCTCTCCTCTGAGGCTCACCCTCTGTTCTCTTCTTCTGTCCCCCAGCTGGTCAGTGAGAAGGTTGGAGGGGCTGAAGGGACCAAGCTTGACGATGACTTCAAAGAGATGGAGAAGGTAATGGTAGAGGTGGTGTGTCCCAAGCCCCCATGGCCCGCTCGGACAGCTGGGCTGGGAGTGGGGCGGGCTGATCAGGATGGATGAGACGGGAGCAGGTCCCCCCAGCCCCAAGCGGGCAGTGACGGGGACACAGCGTAGCCAGTGACAAGGAGGCGGGGAGGCTGAGCAGCCCCTGAGGCAGGTGGGGGCCGGGGAGCAGGGCAACGGCTGTCCAGGGGCCCTTGGTTTGGCTTCGGGTGCCCCAGTGGTTTCGAAACCCCACGTGCTGCCTCTTTCTACAGAAGGTGGACGTTACCAGCAAAGCTGTGACCGAAGTGCTGGCCAGAACCATCGAGTACCTGCAGCCCAACCCAGGTAGGGGGGCCAGCCAGCTGCGAGGGGTCTGCCCCTGAACCCTCGGGTCTCTGGGTCAGTCAGGAATCTTCTGGTACCGGAGCATGAAGAGGGAATGTATGGGCTCACAGCACTGAAATGCCCAGGGATAGGCAGGTTTCAGGCATGGCTGGATCCAGGGGTTGAAAGGTTGTTCTCAGGGTCATGCGTTTCCTTTCTGCTTCATCTGGCAGTTCTCATTCCTCGTGGCAATCTTAGCCTTAAATCACCCTTAACAGCTCAGAGTCCCAGCAAGAAGAGCATCTTTTCTCCCAGCTGACTCATTGGACCAATTTAAACTGGGTGTCCCTCCTCAGTTTGCCAGGCCCTGGCCACACGCCCACCTTTGGAGCATGAGGCGGGGTCTCCTAGGCTGGGAAAGGGGGTGGGGACCCTTCCCCGAGGACAATCCAAATGTTGGTTCCCGTAGCGGGAGGCAGTGGATGCAGGGCAGGCAACAAAAGCAGCCGTGTCCATTCGAGGCCTGTGCCAGGGACGGACCCGAGCGGGCAGAGGCATGAGGACACGGGGAGGAGGTCCGTGTCTGGGGCACCTGTTCACACCTGTACCTGCCCGCCACCGCTTCTCTGGGGCTCCTCCCCAGGCCAGGGAGAGGAGGTTCCAGTCAGAGCCGTGCTCCAGGACAGGAGGCCCTGGGGGTCCCAGGGAGCCGGTCACCTCCCACCCACTGCCAGGGCTCCTTCGTGGCCACCCAGAGCAGAGGAGTAGGAGTCTGGCCGGGAGGTCTCCTCGTAGCCTGGCCGTCAGCGGGCACCGGAACCGAGGTTCCTTGGACCAAGGGAGCGCTTTAGAAATACATGAGTGTCGGGGGGGCAGCCAGCAGTGCCGGCCGAGTGTAGGCCTGGCGGCTCCTCGAGAGGCCACCCCTGTGCCCACCTGTGCTGTCCCGTTCCAGCCTCGCGGGCCAAGCTGACGATGCTCAACACAGTGTCCAAGATCCGCGGGCAGGTGAAGAACCCTGGCTACCCGCAGCCGGAGGGCCTGCTGGGCGAGTGCATGGTCCGCCACGGGAAAGAGCTGGGCGGCGAGTCTAACTTCGGTGAGGCCGCGGGAGGGCCTGGGCGGGGTGAGCACGGGCGAGCTGGACGGCGCTTCCCTCCTGCCACCCCAGAACCTTCTCCAGGGCCGGCTGGTTGGCCAGGCGAGGACAGTGAGGCCCCTGAGGAAGCCCCTCAGCCCCCCGATGGGGCGAGGGAGGATCAGAGTAGCGCAGAGTCCATGGGACGGCCCGCCCTCACCACCGCCGGGTCAGGGCAAACCCGGTCCCTTCTCAGCGTTGGGGGTGGCTTGTTCGACCCCCGTCCTCGCCAGCTCCCGGCCACACGGCTCAGATTCAGACTTCAGGCTCCCTTGTTTGGTTCTGAATTCTGGCGTCCGGGTCCCTGGCCGCGGGCCGTGGGGGCAGTTTAGAAGTTGGGGGTGTCTCGGCCCCATCGGCCACGGCCTCCTGTGACGGCCTCCCCACCGCCGCCTCGTCCGCAGGCGACGCCCTGCTGGACGCGGGCGAGTCCATGAAGCGCCTGGCCGAGGTGAAGGACTCCCTGGACATAGAGGTCAAGCAGAACTTCATCGACCCCCTCCAGAACCTGTGCGACAAGGACCTGAAGGAGATCCAGGTGCGCCAGCCCCCCTCTGTCTCCTTGCAGAACGGGCAGGGCCGCCCCTCACACCCACCCCCTGCAGCCCTCGGGGGCCGCTGGCTCAGGCGGCGCACCCCTCCCCCTCCCGGACCCACTCCGCCCAGCCTGGGCCGGGCTCCCCGCAGGCAGGGCGCAGGGCGTTGGGGCGGCCCTCCCGGGGTCCCAGGTGCCCCGGTGTGACCCTCATCCCCGCCCGCCCCAGCACCACCTGAAGAAGCTGGAGGGACGCCGCCTGGACTTCGACTACAAGAAGAAGCGGCAGGGCCGCATCCCGGACGAGGAGCTGCGGCAGGCCATGGAGAAGTTCGAGGAGTCCAAGGAGGTGGCCGAGACCAGCATGCACAACCTCCTGGAGACCGACGTACGCGCCCCCGCCCGCGTGGAGGGAGACCTGGAGGACCAGAGGGGCAGCAGCCAGCCCACTGAGGCTGTGGGGTCTCCTCAGCCCCTTCGCCCTCCCCGGGCTGCAGCTCGAGGGTCCAGTGGATGGGCAGGGTCTGCCCCTGTGGCTGGAGCAGTCCTGGAAGGCTCCCTGCAGGAGGCGGCCAGGAGGTGGGGGTCACAGGGAGGGCAGCCCTTTCAGCCCTGGCTGGTGGCTTGCAGGTCGAGCAGGTGAGCCAGCTCTCTGCCCTGGTGGACGCCCAGCTGGACTACCACCGGCAGGCCGTGCAGATCCTGGACGAGCTGGCCGACAAGCTGAAGCGCAGGTGAGCCCCATCCCGCACTCTGCTCGCCCGGAAGCCTGGTGTCACCACTGTGGATGCCTGGGCCTGCTCCCCGGGGCCCTAAGACACTGCCGTGAGCTTCCCCAGAAAGCCCAGCCGTGCCGGGGGAACTTTCCAGAGCAGCAGGGATGGCTGCTTTTCATAAGGAATCCCTGGACTGCACGTGTGGGGGCGGGGGGCTCAGGAGGGAGCAGGTCCTGTCGGGCTCATCCTGGTCCCGAAGGAGAGGGCTGGAGGGGCCTGAGGGACCAGAGATCAGACAAACAGGGCGTTTCAGAGCTGACCAAGAGCCTGAGTCAGGGTGGGGCCCCTTCCGCCACCTCCCCGTCCCCTGCTGTGCACTCGGGACTCCTCTCTCCAAGAGCCGCCTCGCAGTCAGTCAGCGCCCAGGGCCTGAGGAGGGAAGCCGTGGGTGGCGGTGGTCCCCGGTGGGGGCGGCGTGTTGGGCACCAGCTCCTGGGCGCCGAGGGGTTGCAGGGTTCAGGTCGGCAGCCTCTGGGAAGTGCCCGGGTCGGGGGAGGTGGCTGGGGGCCCTTTGGTTGGATCCGTCAGGCCTCTGCGTCCAGGCATGGTCCCCGGGCCCCACCCAGGACACCCCTGTGTGTCGTGTTCCCCGACGGCCTCCCCAGGGTCCCTCCTCCCACGTGCCACCCTGAGTCCTGGGGCAGCAGCACGAACAGCGTGGGGTGGGAGTTGTTCCCTGACCCGGACTGCAAGGGCTCGGGATGCTCATGGCTCTCCCTTCCCCTTCGGCACACAGGATGCGAGAAGCCTCTTCACGCCCCAAACGGGAATACAAGCCCAAGCCCCGGGAGCCCTTCGAGCTTGGAGAGCCCGAGCAGTCCAACGGGGGCTTCCCCTGCGCCACAGCCCCCAAGATCACAGGTAATGGGCGGGCGGGGCGCACTGTCCCAGGGCTGTGAGAGCCCAGCCCTCTGCGAAAGGGCCCCGGTCCCACGTCCCCCGCCCCGCCGTACCCAGCCCCGTGTCCCCCGCCCCGAGTCCCCAGCCCACCTCTGTGCTTTGCACGCAGCCTCGTCATCCTTCCGATCTTCAGACAAGCCCATCCGGACCCCCAGCAGGAGCATGCGTGAGTGTCCGCCACTGGTGCAGGCCCTGCCCCTGCACCCTCCCAGCCTTGGTCTGTAACGCTGCTTTCTAGTCTGTTCCAGAAGGGTCTTTCTCCTCCTCCCTTTTTCCGGTCAAAGTGAACCCCCGCTGTGCTGGGCCCTCTCAGCCCGTCTCGAGCAGGGGAGGAGCTGGACACCGGGGCCCAAGTGGCACCCTGAGGGTTGTGGGCCTCTGGTCATTCTGTCATCCCGATGCCACTGGGCGTCCCCAGCTCCTCCAAGAGCGTTTAGATGGCCACTCAGCCCTTTCCGTCCCTCTTGTCACCTGCCCCTTCTTCCTGACAACCTGGGGCGCACTGGAGGAAGGAGCGGCTCTCCTTCGGGGGACGGAGGAGCGGGGAGGCAGGGGGACCAGGCTGGGGGCCGGGGGCAGGGGGGCTGTCACCCCGTGAGCCGGCGAGGCCGGTGGAAGCCCAGCCCTTGCCCGCCCCCAGCGCCATTGGACCAGCCGAGCTGCAAGGCCCTGTACGACTTTGAGCCCGAGAACGACGGGGAGCTGGGCTTCCGCGAGGGCGACATCATCACGCTGACCAACCAGATCGACGAGAACTGGTACGAGGGCCTGCTCCACGGCCAGTCGGGCTTCTTCCCGCTCAGCTACGTGGAGGTGCTGGTGCCTCTGCCGCAGTGACGCGCCGCCGCCCCGGCCACGTCTCCTCCGTGCCACTCGCCCCGCAGGGCTGTGCGCAGCCCGCGGCCGTCCAGCCCCAGGGCCTCCCGGTGGGTGCTCCGGGGGCGGGGGGAGCAGGGCTGGAGGGCCCCGGGAGGCGGGGGCCCCTGTTTACACTAGCGCCCTCCCACAGTGGCGGGGGCGCCTGGGGGCCGGCCGGGCAGTGTTCCTCCTTCCTGCTGCCCCGCCCAGCCGCGCCCCTATAGGGGCTCACACTACGGTGCTCTTAGAAACACTAACTTCCTCCCGCCCCTCCAGGGCCTGGTCACTGCGGGTGGGCCCCTTCACTCAAAGCCCCCCCTCCTCTTCCTCCTCCGTCCTCTCCACACTGGGCCAGCCCACTGTGCCAGGAAACCTGCCCGTAACAGGATGGGATCGAATGTCTGCTTGGGGTGCTCTGAGCGGGACCCAAGACGCACCACCCTGCTTTCGAATTCCCCCTGACACTCCCTCCACAGGCCCCACACGCACGCACACCTACAGATGCGCCCTCCCTGGGAGGGCCTTGCCCTTCACTCCAGCCATGGGCCCTCGGCCAGGTCCCCTGAGGACAGGCCTGCTCCTCCGTAGCACTGGGCGGCCCTCGTCTCCCCTGCAGGGCGCTGAGGCCCTCTGCTGCCCTCCTGCGCCCCCTCAGGGTGCCCACCCCAGCCCAGCACACGGAGCGTTTCTCTGGCACAAACCGCCACCACCAGCTGCACACACAGACACACACATAGACACACACGCCACGCATGGGACCACGGAGCCCCCGGCCTCCGCTCTGCCAAAGGGCAGGCACAATGGCTTTGCTGAGCGAGTGTTCCCACAGCCCTGGCTGCTGGGACCGCCTTGGGGAGGGTCCCAGCACCATCCCCCCGTCACCGGTGGCCCCGGCCAGGCCGTCTCCTCCAGACAAGCAGGGCCCAGGCCTCCACCCACTTCCCCTCTCCTAATCTGCAAATTGGCTAAACGGGCCCTTGGGCCTGGTTCACATTCCCCTCCGGTGACCCAGTAAGGCCCCCGGGGACATCAGGCTCTGCTTGTCCCCAAGGCCCCTCATGGCCATCACGTGGGGAAGGCACAGACGTCCCGGCTGAGCCGAGCAGCGAGGCCTTGGTCACAGTCTAGGGAAGGGTGAAATGTAATCCTGATTTTTTAAAAAAAGTATTAAATGTCTCTTTCTACAGATTCTTGCCTGGTTGTGGTGCAGGGCGGGCCCTCCCGAGGGGTCTTTGGTCAGGGCAGGGCCCACATGGGCCCTGCAGGGAGCCGGGGAAGGGCAGCGGTCATCTGCCTGTCACCCGCGTGGCAGTTCGTCCCTGAGGCCCCAGGAGGTCCACACCCAGGGCTGCGTGAACAGTGTCCCCTCCTGCACCCCGCGTGGCCGACATCAGCCTGCGCGCCTGGGGCGAGACACAGCCGGGGCTGTTTGCTTCTCTCCTTTATTATCGGAGCCCCCGCCGCCGCAATCACACACCAAGTCCCAGACCCGTTGCCCTGGCCCAGAGCTGCCGGGCGGGCGCCAGCAGGGGCGAGAGGCCGAGTCCGACCTGGGGCCCTGGGTCCTGGAGGCGGGTGCCCTCAGCTCGCTTGCTGCAGGATGCTGTACACCTGCTCCAGCACGGGGCACAGGCCCTGGTCCTTGGGCGTCCTGCTGGCCAGGGAGATCTGCAACAGGCAGGGCTGGCGCCTCAGGGCTGCGCCCCACGGTCCCAGCCCGGCCTCCCCTGCCCGCCCCCCGCCGGCCCGAGCGCCGCAGCTGGGCCCAGGAGCCCTCCTAACCGAGGTGCAAGGCAGTTCCCTAAAGGGACGCTTTCTTTCTAGCGAGAGGAGCCTTGCGTAAGTGAAGGCCGGCTGCCTAGCGTGGAATGTGGTCCTGTTCGGGGGCGGGGTTTGCTGCATTCCAGGTCCTGCTCTCACCCCAGCTGCCTCCCCGCTGGATCTCACACCCCGCAGGCAGGCCAGGACCACCCAGCTCCGGGGCCTCCAAAGGCAGCCACGGCCACCCCCACACCACCCCAGCACTGGCAGCGTTAAGTCCCGGTCACTGTTTATTTTGAAGTCTGAACAAAACAAGCGAACGTGTGAAACTGGGTCTCTGTGCAAAGCGGGGTTGCGAGTGTCTTCTGAGAATGACTCTCAAGCAGGAAATAAATCAGACACACTCGAGGCCGCCAAGCCTGATGGAAATGTCCCGCTCACTGTGGGCCCCACGAGCCAGAGAGAGCCGTCCACACCAGCTGTTTTTTTGCTCAGCTTTGCTTCCAGATCAGATCAGAACCCTCTCTGTGCCCTCCGAGGGTGGCCCTGGTGTGAAACAGGGTCAGAGCGGCCCCTCCAGCTGGGACGTCCCCAGGGCCAGGAGGTCTGGGGCGTTCACATTCTCATCTGTGTTTCTGTGTTTCTGATGGAGGTTTCACCACCACCCCCCACCCCCCCGTGTGCTAAAATAAGACTTCTCTTTGCAACGTTAATTTCCGGCTGAAACACTTTTGCACATAAGTTAGGAAATCACTGTTTCTCAGGCTGCCTGTGGGTATATTCTTGGGAGCTCCCCAAGAGTGGTCTTCCGAAAAGGGGGGCTTGCATGGGAGTCGGGGTGGGCCTCACCTTGAGCTTGTCGAGGTAGGTGTGCTCCTGGGTCCAGGGCTCCTGGAACCGCACGAGGTCAGGGGCGCCCTTGTAGAACTCCACCAGCAGCACCTATGGGACAGGGGCCGGGTGGGATCCCCTTGCTCCCACCCTCCCCACGCACTGATCGCCAGGCCCCGAGCCAGGTGTTGGGATACAGCAGTGAGCAGGACGGACGGTGCCGCCCCTCGTGGGCCTTCCAGTCTAACGCGGCACGTAGACATTACCGTCACCAAGAAGGGACCACCGAGTGCCACCCAGGAGAAATAAGGGAGCTTAGCAGGAGGGCCCCCAGAGGGGGCGACAACTGCCCCAGAGGCAGAGGGACACGCATTCTTTTGTGTGTGTGTGTGTGTGTGTGTGTGTGTGTGAGAGGAAGATCAGCCCTGAGCTAACATCCGTGCTAATCCTCCTCTTTTTGCTGAGGAAGACTGGCTCTGAGCTAACATCTATTGCCAATCCTCCTCCTTTTTTTTTTTCCCCCAAAGCCCCAGTAGATAGTTGTATCGCATAGTTGCACATCCCTCTAGTTGCTGTATGTGGGACGCGGCCTCAGCATGGCCGGAGAAGTGGTGCGTCAGTGCACACCCGGGATCCGAACCCGGGCCACCAGCAGCTAAGCATGCGCACTCAACCGCCAAGCCACGGGGCCGGCCCCGGGACATGAATTCTTTATATCCATGCAGGCCTGGCATCCCTCCCTGTTTAGCCTCATCCCAAGTTATCAATCTCGGGCTGAAATTGCAAGTGTGACAAACTAGCTCCGTTTTTTTAAGCACCTGTTGAACTGTAGGCATTAAAAATACATTTGTCATGGGCCGGCCCCGTGGCTTGGTGGTTAAGTGAGCGCGCTCCACTGCTGGCGACCCGGGTTCGGATCCCGGGCTCGCACCGACGCGCTGCTTCTCTGGCCATGCTGAGGCCGCGTCCCACATACAGCAACTAGAAGGATGTGCAGCTGTGACACACAACTATCTGCTGGGGCTTTGGGGGAAAAAATAAATAAATAAAATCTTTAAAAAAAAAAAAAAAATACATTTGTCAGGTAACACCTGAGTCCTCCACATGTCTCCCCTTGGAGCATCAGGACAGGTGAGAGGCCTGAGGTGGGGGCGGGCCTGGCATGTTCCAGAACAGCAGTGAGGCCAGGTAGGGGAGCAGGTGGGCGAGGGAGGGGCTGCGGCAAGGATCTGGGACGGATCCTAAGAGCCACAGGTGATTTTCAGCAGCGGAAGACGAGCCTGACCCAGGCCCTGACTTGGCGCATGCAGCCACGGCTTCCTGAGTCTGACCGGGTCCCGTCCGTCCAGCCGGGCGCCTTCAGCGGCCACCCGCCCCTCCCTGGGGCCCCCGCCCACCCCACCCGGGATGAGCTCACCATCTCATGGAGGATGTCATTAGTCAGGAAGCTGTCCTGGACATAGGCCATCTCCACGTCCATGGGGATGCCGTAGTCACTGGGCCTTTGCTGGCAGGGACACGAGCCAGTCACCACCAGCTCCCCCAGCGCCCATCCCATGACGGCAGGGGACAGCGGGAAGTGCCCTGGGCCGGGAATATAGACCCTCCAGGCCTGGCTCTACACTGGGATCAGAGGTTCAGAGCCACGTGGGACTTTAGTGGAACCTGGCAGTGTCACAAGGGTCGGGGTGGCATCCCCCGGACAGGAGAGGAGCAGGGAGCCACTGCCCTGGAATTTCTTTCCAAAGCTGAGATCTGATCCCAAGATGGACTTGGGGAATGAAACCAGGCAAGGTCTAGGGTGGAGGCCATCTTGATAACAAGAGCAGGATGCTACAGGTGGAGCCCCCGCCTTTTCAACATCCCCCACACCCAGGCCCTCACTGGAGCCTCACATAGGGCAACGATTAAGTTCCCACTTCACAGACGGGAGACACGGTGGCCCCAGCTCCCCAAATGGGCCCCGAACCAGAGTTCCGGCCCTGGATTGTCAACAAGCGCGCCCGGCCCGGCCCCGGCGACCTGGCCCCGCCCACACCACACGACCCCCGCCCCGCCGACCTAACCCCGCCCACATCACCCGACGCCCCGCCCCGCGCGCCTGCCTCCCGCCTCCCCCAGCAGCCCCGCCTACCTCAGGGGGCGGCATCACCCAGAAGGGCGAGATCTTGGACTCCGGGCCCGGGTTGCCTGAGTAGTAAGGGGCTGGGGGAAGAGGGTGAGAGAGGGGCTGGGCCCGAGGAGCTCGGGGGCGCCGGGGGGCCGCACGCACAGGCTCATGCGCACCCCACCCCGGGACTTACAGCAGAGCAGGGCGAGGCAGGGCTGGAAGCCGTTGCTGGAGCCCTGCAGCCGCAGCTGGTAGTCCATCTGCGCGTCGATGTCCTGCAGCGACGGCAGCGCCGGGCTGTGCGGGTGGCTGTGGTACCAGCCCACCAGGGACAGGCCCCGCAGGAGCAGGCTCTGGTAGATCTGGGGGCAGAGGCGCGGCTGCGGCGGGCGGGCGGGGGCTGGGGGCTCTACCAGCCCGGTGCGCCCCCACCACTCCCTGCAGCCAGCGCTGCTGACACCCACCCAGCCCCATGCGCGGCCAACGTGTTATGAGCGCCTGCTGTGTACCAAGCCTGGAGACACAGCAGTGACCAAGACAGACCCTGCCCCACCCTCACCGACTCCAGTGGGGCGACAGTCAACAAATATATACATAAAGAAGATGCGCCTGTCATAATGCAGAGGCAAAAGGTTACCACAGAACAGCGCCTGGCACACAGTAGGCACTCAATAGTTACATAGAGATAGGTGGACGGGCGTGCGAAGGAGCAGGACAAGGCTTTCCCGGATGCCCGGAGCGAGTAGAGGCAAGCGCATGCGCATGCGTAAAGAGAAAGGAACAGTGGGCAGAGAAACCTGCGCAAGGAATCAACACCCATTCACCTGCCCCCGAGGGACACTGACGGTCCCCCGAGAAGGTGGGCGTGGGTGCATGAGCACAGCTCCACGCGCATCCTACGCACCACTCGGAAAACATTATTAAGGATGGCAGCTAATATTTATGGAGCTTTCACTAGGTGCCAGGCACGGCGTGGAAACTGAGGCTCAGAAGGGAAGGGGCTGGACATGTTTGCAGAGCAAGTGCGATCGTGGGGTTGCAGGCTCACACACTCATTTGCACACCTGCTGAGCGTCGGCACTGTGCTAGCCGCCGGGACACGGGGGCCAGGACAGCTGTGTCCCTGCCAGCCCTCCCCAGAATGCACGGTCCCCGTGCGCCCCATCACCTCCTCTTCGATGGTGGCCGCGGTGTCCGCGTCCCCCAGCCGGCTCCGACAGGGGAAGGCTCTCAGCACGGTGAGCACTGCGCGGGGGCAGGAGAAGGCGTGAACATCGAGCCCGGCCCCAAACACCCCCCTGTCCACCAGGGCCCAAATACCCACTCTGGCTGTTGATGTCCCAGCGGCCCCCCAGGTACCCCACGACCTCGCTGCGAGTCAGGTGGCTATGGAAGTCCTGGGAAGGGGAGGGACATCGGAAGACCCGCTCAGGCTGCAGCCCGGCCCCAGATGCCAGCCCGCCCACCTCCCTCTTCAAACATTGATTGAGCGCCTACTGTTTACCAGTAGTGAACAAAGCACACAAGGTCCCTGCCCTCACAGGGCTAACATTCCGGGGACACCCCCCTCCCGGGCGCACCAGCCCCCTGCCCAGGCCTGGGAGCCCCCGGCCCCCAAGGGACAAGGCGGGGGCCGTGCACACACCAGCAGGAACAGCACGTTGCTGGAGACGGCCACGTTGAACGGCTGGAACTTGTTGATGGCTGCGAAGGATGTTACTTCCACCAGGGTGTGGGGGTTCCTGTAGGAGCCAGAGGGTCCCACAGCTTCAGGACCCCCCAAGCTGGCTCCCCAGCCCCCACAGCCAGCTCTGAGAATCTGAGGCCTTGTCCCAACCCTGCTGGGGGTGGGGGGGCTTAACTGACCTGGCGGAGTCGCGACTGCCCAACATACAGTAGCGCACGGGCGCCCGGATCTTGTTTTCCACCCGCTTCCCCGGGGGCGTGGCCTCTGCGGGGTAGGGGGTAAGGGGAAAAAGGGAGCATCAGTCCCTCCCCTGACCGGAACTGGAAAACCAAGACGGGGCGGCCCAAGAAGGCCAAAACTCCAGAGGCAGCCTTAAAAATCAGGCGGCGAGGCTGGGAAATCAGGCGGCGGGGCTGGGAAATCAGCTGGCGGGTTGTCAGCCAGGCATCTTGGGGGCGCTGAAGAAAAGAAAAGTCAGACCTGTCCCCTCCCCTACCCCACGCCTCTCACCCGGGTGGGCAGGCTCCGAGGGGCCCTTCACTGGTGGTCTCCGACTCTTGTCCTCCACTGAGACCCCTGCCAGAACCTCCTCCTCCTCTTCCTCCATCAGCAGCTCCTCCTCTTCCCCTTCGCTGGCCGGACTCTGGCGGGGTGGGGTGGGGGACAGCGGCGGGACCCTCAGCTGGGTGGCCCCCACCCTCCCCACCAAGTCCTACACAGACCCCTGGCTGGGCTGAGCCTTAGGTGCCTGCTGTTGCCCCAAGTGCCCACTAGAGGGCGTGAGTGAGCAAAGGTGGGCTAGGCTCCGGGCCAGCCTTGAAAGTTCGAATCCCGCCTCTGCCTCTTGCAAGCTGTGTGACTTCGGGCAAGCGCCCTAACCCCTCTGAGCGCTATTCGCCTCATCTGTAAAATGGCATGACCTCCAGCCCCATAGCGGGGGCGTCAGAGGGAAATGAGGTAATGCGTGCAAAGCACTTAGCGTACGCACTGTTACTCCATGCATTAATGAAGCAAGCGTTTTGCATGGATCATTTTATTAAATTCTCTCAATACCTCTCCTCCTGCTCTCTCCTAAACCGCCCTTGCAGAGGGGACCTCTCTGTGTCCAAACCCAATGGCCACATCTCAGTCTCTGTCCCCTCCCCTCTTGGCAGCATCTGACCTTGACGTTTCCCCCTCCTCCTGGGAACTCCTCAGGGACCCGCACTTGCCCGGCTTCCCTCCCACCTCTCCGGGACCCTCGGTCTCCCCTCTCTCCCTTGTGGGCCCAGGGCCGAGTCCTCAGGCCTCTTCCCTCCCCCACCGCCATCTGGGAGGCCTCGTCCACCCTCGGGGCTGGAACCCCCTCTACACCCAACGATGCCCACCGTCCTGACTCCAGCCCAGGCCTGCCCTGAGCCCCAGACTCGGGGTCCAGCGGCCCCTCGATGTCTCCCCGTGGGGGGCTCATGGGGGTCTCACTCAACTCGGCCACGCCGTCCCGACAGTCCCCCCAGACCTGCTCCTCCCGAATCCCCACATCTCTGAGGGGGCAACCCCATCCACCCACGTGCTCAGAACAAAACATCTCTTAACACCGACATATGGTCCATCAGGAAACCCCGTCAGATCCACTGTCAAAATTAGCCAGAACCTGCCCACTTCTCCCCCCTCGATGGCCGGCCTGGGCCACCCCATCACTGCCCACCTGGACCGCCCTGGTCCCCTGCTCCTGCCCCCGCAAGTCTGTCCTCCCCGCAGCAGCCACCAGAGGGCGCCTGTGAGCCCCTGAGTCAGGGCCCCCCTCCTCTGTCCACAGCCCTCCAGGGCTCCCCGCTCCCTTTGGGGAGAAGCCCGAGTCCTCCCCGTGGCCCCCCAGGCCCTGCACGACCTGCCCCGTCCCCTCCCTGCCCTCCCTCCTCCCTCGCTCCCCTTCACTTCCTCTGCTCCAGCCACACGGGCTCCTCGCTGTTCCTCCAACACGACAGGCCCGGTCCTGCCCCAGTGCCTTTGCACGGACTGTTTCCCAGATCTCCTCCCCTCGTTCAGTTCTCTGCTCAAATGTCACCTTCTCGGTGAGGACCTCTCTGACCACCCTAGCCCCCCTCCCATCCCCTGCCCCTGCTCACTTCTTCCGACACGCTATAAGATAGACTTATTTTGTATCTTTGTCTCTCTCTCTCTTCACGAGGGCAGGGACTTTTCTATTTTGCTCTCTGCTTTATCTACAGTGCCAGGAACAGAGCCCGGCACACAGTTGGCACTTACTAAATACCTGCTGAATGAATAGCCCTATGACGTGGTGTGAGGGTAGTTTTATATGTCAACTAGGCTAGGCTACAGTACCCGGTTATTGAATCAAACACCAGTCTCAGTGTTGCTGTGAAGGCATTCGGTAGATGAGGTTCACGTCTACAATAAACTGACTTTCAATAGAGATTACTCTTGATAATGGGGGTGGGCCTCATCTAATCAGTTGAAGTTCCTTAAGAGCAAAAACTGAGGTTTCCTGGAAAACTAGGAATTAGGCCTCAAAACTGCAGTATCAACACCCACCTGAGTTTCCAGCCTGCCAGCAGCCCTACAGATTTCAGACTCGCCAGCCAGAAGTTTACCCAGCTGATGAATCTTCAAAGAAGATCTATTATTATCATGGCATTCGAGACCCTTGCAGAACTGGTCCCTACCAACGTCTCCAGCCCCCTCAGCTACCCGAAACATGTGAACCTCCAGCTGCATCAGCTATGGCTTTGCCTTGCCATTCCCTCCCTCTGGAAAGCTCTTCCCTTCATCTTGCTCTGAAAACTCCTACTCATCCCTCAAAGCCCCAGTTGCAACATCCCCTCTCTCTAGGCACTCCTTATCAGACAGTGAGTAGGGACGCACCTCATCAGCGGTGACTGTGGGCACGTGAAGCTGGTGCCGCCGGAGCCAGGCAGCCTTGTACTTGTCCAGCTTCTGGCCTTTGTACTTGACGGAGGCCCAGCCACAGCCGGACTTCTTGGCTGGGTTCACCAACTTCTTGCAGTGGGTGGCCCAGGCGCTGGGCGAGTTGAACACCTGCCCTGTTTCCTGCCACACGATCCTCCCGTCCGGCTGCAGGTCCCCCATGAACTTCTTTCCCTGCAGCGACAGCAGGCTGGCTGGGCCCAGGACCTGGTACCCAGCAAGGCCCCTCCTCCGGGAAGTCCTCCCTGACCTCATGCTGCTCCCCGGGGCTTGGCACCCACTTCCCACCACAGCACCCCTTCCAGGAAGCCTTCCAGCTTGGGTGCCTCCCAGTACCTGCAGGTCCAGCCACAATCCTGATCAGCCTGGATCAAAACTGCCCGTTTATGTGTCTGCCCCCCTCTCCCCTCTCTGGACTGGGAGCCCCCAAAGGGTGAGAACAGGGTCCGTCTTGATCAGTGCGGTGCCCCTAACACCCAACACACAGCCTGGCACACAGCAGGCGCTCAATTCACAAATTGCTCCCATTCACACATCCAACAACAACAAAGTACCAATAACAGGAATAACAGTGCACACTTATACAGCACTTACTGCATAGCAGGCACCCTGCTGAGCGCTTTATTCATTTAATCCTCATACCACCCCACGGGAGGAAAAAAAAAAAATCCCATTTTACAGATGAGGAAACTGGGATACGGAGAGGTTGAGCCAGGTCACACAGCCAAGGAGGCCGTGGTGTCCTCTCCGAGCCTCAGTTTCTCCTTTGTGGAATGGGGCGTTTGGTGAACGATGTCCTCCCGCCCGGAAGAACTCGTGCAGGGTCTGGATGCCCCGTGCCTCAGTTTCCCCTCCCCACACCGGGCTCGGCCTGCAGCCGGGGAGCTCCGGGCCTCAGTTTCCCCTCCGCGCCCCAGCCGGGATGGGATGCGGGGAGGGGGGCTCACCAGGTAGTAGATGGACAGCACCCCGGCGCCGGGCTCCAGCAGCGCGTCTCTGAGGAGCACCCGCAGCGTGACCGCGCGCC